TTATTTGTTAAAAATTACAATGCATATTGCCCAGTGTGGTGTGAATAATGACTTTTTTACTGATTAGGTCAGAAGACTAATATGTAGCAAAATAAATAATTTTTCTTTTCATTTTCCCCCCTGATTTTTGCTTTAAATTAACTACTGAATTCTGGTGGATTCACACTGCCACCTGCTGCCCAGGAATAGATACTGAAAGTATATTCCTAAGGAAAGGAGTTTATTCCTCACTTTTGTGGTCTTATTTGGAAAGTCTCCTTGATGGGTCCTTTCTTATCAACATATTTAAATTGCGTATCATAATAAAGGGTGATATTTGGTGAACAAAGAGAACACTTGATAAGCAAACAATAGAATATACTATTTGCTATTTGGGTGTGGTGATACAAACTGTACGAACTTTTTAAAAAAGTTAATTACAAAAAATTAACAATTTGAGCACATCACATGTCACCTAATGCATTATTTTCAGGGGCTACAACACCAAGTTCAGTGGTCAGTACCCCTGATCTTAGCACACTGTGTGTCAGCAGAGGAGAGGGTGCATGTGTGTGCATGCATGTGCATGCGTGTGCATGTGCATGTGTGTGTGTGAGGTTTCCCCCACTCCTGCCCCTTGGTACAATCTAAAGCAGATGACTGGAAAGGCTCTGCCTGCCACTGAGGATTTCCACTACCTAGTCTCCCCCCCTAATGGCAAGGAGGAACATGAAAGGAAGGCCCTAGGGTCTAGAACACAGGGGGTTAGGAAGGACACTAGCACTGGAGAGAAACAGGCCAGGGCTTGGGGACGAGACTAAAAAATTGTTGTCTGTAAAACAATGAGTCTCAATGGTGATCACGGAGCTAGCAGAGGTTTTCAGGCTCTAGATCAACATCCTGGTTCTGGATTAGAGTTTTTCCATCTGTTAAAAAAAAATTCACCTGCCTTAAGGGGTTACTTAGCAGAGGAAAAATGGGATCCTTGTGTCAAACAGTCAGTACAAATAGGCCCTCCATAAATGCTGATTGCCTTCCCTGGGAAAGATAATGATGGCTCTGGGGAATATGGTTTGGCACCAGAGGCTAGAAACAAGCGGACCCCTTAGGAGAATATGAACTCATCATAACCTATAGCCAACATTGGTGAGAATCTAAAGAAATGAAAGAACATTAGTAATGGAGAAAGTGATGAGATCGGACAAATATTTGGGAGGTAGAATCAACCCAACTTGCCCTGGATGGTCTGGTGTGGCTCAGGTGGCTGGAGCCTCGTCCTGTAGACTGAAAGTTTGTGGGTTCGATTCCTAGTCAAAGTACATATCCAGGTTGTGGGTTCCAACCCTGGTTGGGCGCATACAAGAAGACAACCAATGGATGTTTCTCACTTCAATGTTTCTCTCTCTCTCTCTCTCTCTCTCTCTCTCTCTCTCTCTCTCTCACTTTCTTTCTTCCAGCAATGAAAAAAATGTCCTCAGGTGAGGATTTAAAAAAATGGAAAAGAAATCAACCCAACTTGATAACTGACTGGATATGGTGATGATGATGAAGCCTAACACTATGTCCACATTTCTAGACAACTAGTGAATCAGTAGGACGTCGACAGAGAAAGGGCAGGTTTTCTCCTGTTAATTTTGAATTACCTGTGTGATATTTATGTGGAGATATTTAGCAGCTAATATTATTTTTTAAAAAGGCTAGGAAAAATCAGAGTTCAGGAAACAATCTAGATTCCAAAAGTGTGTAATGTTTATCTGAAGGATTCAGAAAACAAGTGGACACACTGAAACCACTATACCTGCAGCTGATCACTCCTGACATGGTCTGCACAGATTCCTCTATAAGACTTAAAACAGTGAACAGACACGTACTCTGAAAAGCAAGGTAATTCATGCATATTGCTGGACCCATTTTAAAGAGAGTAATTGCTCTTTAATGAATTGGCGTATCTTTCTGATAAAATTTTAAAAAGAGCACAATGGACAAGGAAGAAGAGCAGAAGGAGGAAGAGGAAGTGAAGCATTCACATTTTATTTGGGATGGGATCTCAGCAAGTAAAAGTCTGATAAGTCGTGCTTATTAATAGTATTCTAAAAGGACAGTTTGCATAGGAGAGTCCTATGAAATTTCACTGCAAAGTGGGTGAAAAAGGACACAAACTTAAGGTGCTGCTTGCAAATCCCTTCCCTTGGGATGGTGGACTATAGGAGCCACTGCGCACGCCCAGCTCACCCCCATTCATTAGCATCATTTTCACTGCTGGCCTCCCTGTTTATTGCACAAACATGCACTGAGAACCTGCAAGTTCTCCATGATAGGCTCTGTGAGAGGCCCTAGGGACTGGAAGTGAGTAAGGTGAAGGCCTTACCAGCCTGGGAGGCTAACTCAATGGCTGTCCCTAATGACACAGAGGGGATCTGCTTGCACAGTTCAAGGCCCCTGCTCTCAGCAGCCTTCCAGGGGGCAAACAAGAAAAAGGAGCCCACACAGTGGCCCCAGGGTGCTCCCTCCCTCTGCTGGCGCAGCAGCATTTCTGCACGTGCAGAAGAGCTTCAGGCCACGGCAACAGCTGATGGCTGGGAGGCTCAGGGAGGCCGGAGGGTGCGGGTGGCTCTTGGGTGCCAACCAAGGGATTCTCCTTGTACACGTTTTTTAATGAGCCCTTGTAGGACAACAGGAGGTATCAGGAGTAGAGGTCTACCCTTCACACCTCTGGAAGAAAATCCAAAGAAAAGTCATGGTAATTGGAAAACAACAAAACAATACGAGACATTTTAGTGAGGAGAATGGCTTCGCAAACTCCTAGTTGGACAAAGTACTAAACAAGGATGGAGAATTAGCCTGGACTGATAGACATAATTTCTAAGTACATTTCAAGCACTGAAGATTATTCATTTTAACAAAAAATATTTTATATACTCAATAATGGTCCTATATGAAATAAAAAATTATTTGAGCAATAATGCAAAAAAAAAGTAAATAGGTCTTGTTATAAGACTGTGTCAAAATATAAAAGCAGACTGACCCAGTCTAGTAGTTTTATGTTCCCCAAAGAGGGGGCAGCGTATATATTTTTAAAAGACTAGCATAATGAAAGTTTCTACATACATGTGGCTCTGGTTCTCTTGTAGTCAAATTGCCTTCCATACACTGGACATCTTGCAACAATCACAGATAAAATGGAAAAGTAAAGTTACACAAGAGGACGAAATGAAACATACTGAGGAAAAGAAAGTGAAAATTCAACCACTGCTCAAGCAGGCTAAAAATAAATGAAGAGTCCAAAAAATATATCTGTATGCAAGCTACATATTTTTCTCAGCAAAATAATGAAGTGCAAGAATTAAATTCCTAAGTACACAGTCACTTGGTATTTCAACAAATTCATCTGATGGGGTAGTGGAAAATATTTATGAACTCCTAATGTTCATCCAGAATTCTCATGTATGGAAAAGTATTTATAGGTACACAAATATACACACATACCTATATATACATATTATTTTAACATGCATCATGATAAGTAGCACTATAACGGAACTTTTGTCAACACATATCACTGATTATACCTGTTATGGAAAAAGTGAATCAGGGGATGATTCCGAAAGCTCAAGTTACAATATTTGATGTAGAAATGTCAAATAAATGTAATTTCAATTTCACAAGTCAAACACATACCTTTGAAGTCATGTAACCTTTCTATGTTATTCCCATTTGCTACTTGCAGAAAGGGATTTAAAACAGCTCTCCTCTATCACCCGACAATATTGAGAGGAAAATAAGGTAAAAATAGTTAAACATTTACTATTAGATTAAATGTGCTAAGATGATAAAACTTCCATATACTGTATTTGAATTGCTCTTTAGTTGAACATGCATGACATTCCTCATACGATCACCCTGGGAAGCACCGGCTCCTATTTCCCATCATTGCTGGGAAGATGAAATAAGATGATATAGCAAAAAGAGCTTTGGAAACTACCCGGTGAATAACAGAAGTCAACAATAAAGGCCATGTTTAGAATTAGAGAAAAAGATTAGGAAGGAAATAAAATAATTGAGCAGGAAACAAATATAATTTTTCTGTTTACTTATGTCATATGCAAAAGGACCGAAGAATTAAATTGGGTGGATTTATCATTTTTTAAAATTTATTTTCACTGTGGTTATACTGATGTAATAAATGGAAGTAAAATTCAAACAAGTAGAAGAAATGGGAGGATCCCAATATAGGGAATTAGTACTTAGCTCTCTATAAAATAAAAAGCTTCATGGCCATACTATCTGCTAAGTCCCCTAACTTCCTAGTGAGCCAAAGGGTTGTCATTCAAAAAGAAAAAATGGTCTTTGGAATCAGGAAGGCCTCCCATGTCACCTTGGGCATGACAGGTACATTTCAAATCTCTGATTTTTCACCTATAAAAATGTGCAAAGTTGTTGAGGACTAAACGTGAAACACCTGTGAACTCACAGTATGTTTTTTTCTCCCTCCCCCTCACAGAGCCTTCCAGATCACCCCAGCCAATCAGGGAAGAATGCACAGATCATTCATCATTTTCCAAGCATTTATTGCCCGGGAAATACATGTGATAATTAATTATACATATGACATTGGATATATTAGCTTCTGTTACTGAAATCTTAAATGGTTATCCGATTTTCCACGCATCTGTGGTCATTTCATTGTGGAAACCAAACAACACTGCTTCACGTCAAGATCCGTCCCAGCATCATCTCTCCTGCTCCGTCAGTGAACCCTGTGTGTGGTTGCTGAGTTACTCTACTGCCCAAGCGTGGTGGGGACCTGGGCAGGGCTGGGACAGCGGGGGGTATGAGAGCGGTGGCTGTCTCCTAGGAGCCTCTCAGCTTGTGTCCTGGAGAAATTCTACCAGCACAGGCCCCATCTCCTCACCTTTCATTTTACCTGTCACTCACTGGGCTCCAGTTGGTGGGGTACACAGCTTGTAACCGCAGAGAGAAGTAATGTGAAGGACACATTAGCAGGATGCAAGCTCACATACCTGGATGAGATAGTGGGAACATAAATTGAGAAGCTCCAACAGCTGCAGATGACTGCCAGCTGCTAACACATCCTGGATCACGCCTGGCTCCAACAAAATCTGTTTAAAAAAAAAACAAACAGACAAACTACCAGTTACTTAAAAATCAATAGTAGCTTAAGATTAAAATATATTGCTATATTTAAATTGTTGCTTAACATGCTATATCTGAGTTATGGAAAAAAAACTGACTTCCATAATAATAAGGAAATGAGTTATTTTTCCCATCCTGATTAACGAGCTGTGGCCCTCACTCGAACAGCTGAGTTCTCATTTCCAATATGCATCTCCTGTACACAAGGCTCTGCACTTAACTTATTTTTGTAGGAGGATATAAATATTTGCAAAGAACAACATATCTTGAAATTCACTTGTGATGGATGTAATCTCATAACATTAAAAAAAAAATTTAGTTATTCCAAGTATATTCCAGAATTTTCTAACAGTATGGTTAACAGCTATTTTAGGGAGAGGGGCTTATGTTTCTCCTTGCAGTATGAGACCAGAGGTGGATATTATTTTATTTGACTTGTAAATCCAACAACAGTAAATTTCAACCACAAACTTTCATTTTTCTCTTTCTCGATCTCAGATTCTCTAATCCTTTCTATTTCAAATGAAAGATATAGAAAGAGCATCTTCATCACACAAATACATCACAGAGAAGTAAAGCTTCCCAAATATGCTGGTGATATCAATCCTTCCTTTTTTTCTGGTTCAGTCCAACTTTGTGGCCCCGGTTGCCAGCCCCTGAGTTCGCTGAACAGGGCTGGAGAAAAACCCACAACCACGTTGACTAAATTCACTTTACATGAATGAATGGGGCAGACACAGGAGGCCTTAGTGCTGCTCCCGACAGCTTAACTCGTTTCCGTTTCCCCAGCCCAGTGGTTCCCAAAGTGGAGTCTCTGCACCAGCAGCACCGGCATCCCTGGGACCTTGTGAAAACTGCAAATTCTTGGACACCTCCCCTGACTTAACTGCACGAAAAACTTGCAGGGGGAGGCCTGGAAACTGGTGTTTTAACAAGCCCCCTAATGGTTCTGATGCCCAGGACAGCATGTGGAACACTGATGTGGTCAGTTCACCCCCTTTCTACTATTCCCACATTCAGCTCTCTCCTCCACCCTCTGCTCCTGTCTCTAACCCTGTGATCCTCCAAAGGCTCTCCCCACATCTACCAGCCACCTACCCATCTGTGCATCAGCATATTCTGCTTTCCCCACACTCCACTTGCGCACTAGACACCACGCCTTCTGCCTGCAATTGTCCCCTCTTGTCCCTGAACCATTATCTGTTCTTTCTACAGGATGGTAACTCCCCATCAGCGTACAAATGTAAATCAGAGTTTTCATCTTAAATGAAAATCCCCTCCCTTGACTCCATAGCTCCTTCCATGCTCCCTTTCATAATGAAGTTCCTCAGGAACGTTGCCTATATAAAATGCCACTATTTGCTCTACTATGTTCTCTCTTGAACCCATTCCTGCTGAGTTTTATTCACACTGCTCCTCTAAAAATGTTATTGGTCACAGTCACCAGCGACCTCCAAGCCCAACAGCAAAATCCAACAGCCACTCCTCAATAATTAATCTCACTCGAGGCAGCCGCAGTTAGCAAAGTTGATCGCTCTCCTCCTGAAGCGATGTCTTCCCTTGCTTCTGGCAGAGTGCTCCCTCCGCTGGCTTCCTGTATTTCACTAACTGCCCCCCTTCCCCGTGTCTCCTTCCCACCCTGTAAGCTTTGGAGATGCCCAGAGCTCAGCTCCTAGATCTCGTCTTTCCTCTCTCCATTCACTCTGTGGATGATTCCTGTAACCCCACTGCTTTAAAAGTATCTATACACAGGGCCCTCGCCGGGTGGCTCAGTTGGTTAGAGTGGCATCCCCATATGCCAAGGTTGTGGGTTCTGCCTCCAGTCAGGGCACATACAAGAAGCAAGCAATGAATGTATAGAAAACTGGAACAATAATTCAACGTTTCTCTCTCTCTCTCTCTCAGAAAAAAAAATCAATGAATAAAACTACCTATAGGCCGATTATACTCATTTGTTTCTCCAGCGTCAACCTCACCTTTGAACTCCAGACTACTATATCGAACTGCCTAAGCCGTATCACCGCTTAAATGTCTAACAGGCAGCTCAAACTGGATGTGCCCCATTCTAAACTCTGAACCTCTCCACCAACCTTCAGATCTGCTCCTATCCCAATCCTACCATCTCTAAAAGCAGCAACTCTCAATTATTTAGAGTAAAACCCAAAGTCATTCTAGATTCCTCTTGTTTGCCTCCCCTCTCACACAGGATCGATCGTCCACTCCTGCGGACTCTATCTTCCAAACTGTTCCAGAATCCAATCACCCACTCAGTACTGTTTCCATCAATATCACTCTAGTCCAACCCACTGTCTTCCTCGATGTAACATAAAATCCTCTCAACTACTGTTTTCTCCTTTGCCCTCTTATGCTGTATTTAATAACATCAATCAAATTGGTCCTTTAAAAATATAAATAAAATCATGTCACTCCTTTTTTCAAAACTCTCCAATGACGTTTTATCTCATTAAAAAAATCCAAATTCTCCACTGTAACACAAAAAGGACCCTAGCATTTACACCTAGCTGTTATCTCTGCCTGGACCCCTCTTCCTCAAGATGTCAGTGTGGCTCACTCCTTCATGCCCCCCAGACCTCTGCTCAAATACCACCTTACCTGAAAGGCCCTCGCTGGCCATCCCGTGTAAAGTAATACCCCCCGCCCCGGTACTCATCACTCCTACATCCTTACTTTGCTTTGTTCTTCTTCATAGCACTCTTACTACCTCTTGACAAGAATACACATGTATTTGTCTATTTGATTATTTTCTATTTCTCCACTCAAAGGATATAAAATCCAGAAAAGCAGGGACTTGATCTATTTTGTATACCCGGTGCTTAAAACAATGCCCAACATACAGATTTCATTTAATATTGAATTTATTTTATAATAAATTATAGATAAATTAATTTATTTCTAAGTATATTTTTAAATGTGGAATTAATTTTTAATCTAATTTTAATTAACCTCTCTTGTTAATTAATCTAACAGAAGAGGAAAGAGGACTGTAAATTATATGTCTGAACTACTTAAAGAAGTGAAAAAGTTAAGCATATGTGGTAAAAATACCAACACTCATCTTATTAATCTGAGAAGTCTTTATAGCTCCTTTTCTACCCAGTCAGAGGAAAAAACCTGAATTTCCCCAACTCCTCAAGGAGAGAGGCTTTGACTGACATTCAGGAAATGATTTCAGCTCCCATCACAGGAGCAAGAATGTAGTGTTCTTGCAGAAGAGGCATGGCCTAAGGCACAGAATGGGGAATAGATGGATTAGAAAGGTTAGTCTCAGCCTTTAAATCCTGTCAGTTGCGCTTATTTCACACAACTGGCATTCACGATAACCTCCAAGGCTTGGTAATGCCCAAAACAAAGGCAGATATCACAGAGAGACAAGATGAATACTCCACAGCATGTGCAACATGTCCAGCAGGCTTACTTCGAGAAACCCTCACATGAAAGACCCACGCCAGGATTGTTTTTGTCTTCGTCTCTGGTTTTACTGTTCTGTAGTTTGTTTTCTCTCTCATTATAACATAAGTTTTTCTAAAAGATGCTTTAGCCCAGAAAATCCCTAAGTGCTTTTAAAGGGCACACTTTGAAAAACAAAACAAAAATCTACCAGGAAAGCTGGGTCTCATTTATGGAAACAGCCAGCATTTGCGAGCCTCCCTTACATGCCGGCTGGGGGAGGGGGAGGCGTCCAACCTGCAGCCCGTGGGCCACAGGCAGCCCAGGATGGCTGCGAATGCAAAATCATAAATTTACTTAAAACAATATGAGGTTTTTTTTGTGTGTGATTATGTGTCACAATATATTTCATGTGTGGCCCAAGACAACTCTTCTTCTAGTGTGGCCCAGAGACTCCAAAAGGTTGGACTCCCCTGAGAGTCTGTTCGATTCAGCTTTGTTGATCTGTGGTAACTGGTTGTTCTAATAAAATTTTCCAGGGAATTTGTGTTTGGGCAGGAATACAAAGTTTCACTATCCTCACAGTTTAGAGCATGGTGAATTTGTCCATCAGCTGCCTAGAATAATTTTGCCTGAAGAAGAGCCTCCTGAAGAAGGAAGGGCTCGCAAACATGCCCATTGACGGAAGACAGCTAAAGAAGCTAAGTTTAAATCCTGCAAAGCCTATGTTGGTTACACTGAGGACTTTCAGTAACAAATACCTGTCAACCTCCAGTCTGGCACTCAACTCAGGACAGATGGGAGGCCAGGCCACTCGAGGAGCACCTACAGGAATGAAGGGTGTCCCCGGGGAGTTCAGAGCACAGAGTGGTGGAGTGGGAGCTAAGGTTTAGTATCTTGACACATCCATGCACTCACTAAACTGGAGGAGCTTAGGTCAGAAGGAGGCACCAACAGTGGACAAAGCAGGTCTGAACAACAACAGACATCAAGAAATACAAGGTACAAAAAGCCAGGTGGTCCAGGATGCAGTGAGGAAGGTGGAAAACATTACAGACACCTAACTGGGCTGGCACTGCCTCTGCGGTGGCACTTGCCCACTTGAGTGGAGACAGAGCTGGGGCTTCTTCAGATTAGACAGAGGTTTGACGCAACCCTAGTTGGGGTATGAGCGCCTCACGTTCACCGGGCCATCTGTGTGGTATATTCTCTCTCTGCCACCCACCCACATCTGAACCCAGGTGGCAGAATACCTGGGGCTGAACTTGAAAGAGGGGGACTGGACAGTGCTAGCTGGGAGATGACAGCCTCGTGACGGAACCTTGGGGCAAGCTAGGTCATGTGAGCTGCGGAAAGGCCCGCAAAGTGCAAAAGTGCACTCTGTACTCACTTTGATCAGCTCGGGATGAAATCTGGCAGGTGACTATGGTGAGGGTGGCCCTGGCTGGTGTGACAGAGCAATAGAGGTAAAAGCAACACCTGCAATAGAAGGTGGTGGTCTCTAAAGATACCAATGAGGGCTACTGCATCAGAATTCAGTGATAAACTGGTCCAGCTG